CAAGACACAGAGGGCTCTGTCCAGGAAACTCAATCCCACCCTGCCCCCTGGCCATGGAGACCCCCAGCTGCAGAAATGCCAGAGATGTCAGCTGTGTAGGACTGCTCCGGGCCTGCGGCCACCACCAGCAGGCCCCCTCCTGTGCCCATCCCAGGTGCAGGCAAGTAGTCCATTCAGAAGTGAGTGTGTGACTCCCACATTCCTGGGATTTGCACCCAGAAACCGATCATTGAATCTCAGGTGGACAGACCTTCTCCGTAATGGGCGGGACGGCACCTGCTTCCCACGGTGGGTGCCATGCAGTCTCTGTGGCAACTCTGCACCTGCCATTGCTGTCACAGATGGTACGGAAGCAAGTAGGTGTGGCCACGTCCCAATACAACTTCATTCACAAAAACAAACCAAGGACAGATTTGAACCACAGGCATCATCTGCCAACCCCCAATTTAATCTGTGGGACAGTGGCCCAGAGGTGTCCTCTCGGGAAGGTTTGTGGCAGGAAGACTCTAGCATCATAGACATCCGAGCGTGACATTGGCTCTTCATCCCTATGTCAGGGAGACGGTCAGAAATCTCACACACGCTATTAGCGTCAGACAGAAAGGAAAGGCTCAGAACTGCACGCCACGCCCAGGCCCGTCCACATATCTGTCTGTATATTCATACCTTTATTGGCTCGTCTCAACAAGCATCCCTGAGCTCCCCACACACAGGCATCCCTGGGCACCCCACACACGGCTCAGGACAGCGATGGTGAAACCAGAAAGTCATGGTCCTGCCTTTCAGAGCTTAGTTTACATATTTTATTTCTGTGGATTTTGGTCTTTCTCCCATGAGCAATCCTTATTCATTTAGGATGTATGATTCCCTATTCCTGACGAAGTCATGAAGGTAACCTCTTGAGATAGCGCAGTGTGGGGCCGGGAGTTGGCCCCTGCCCACCAGCCACCCCAGGTGCAGCCAACACAGCCTCTGACCCCCATCACCCACATTCATGTTGACCTTGGGCAGGTCACTGCCTAGAGCCTCAGTTTTCTCACCTGCAAAACAGGAACAACAATCTACCCCAGATATGGAGGGTAGAGTGACATGATATGGAGGGGCCTGGCTTGAAGCAAGCCCCAAAATGCTGCTGCCCCGTCTCCCCTGGGCTCTCGCTGTCCTGAGCCCGGGGAGACCCCTTCCGGGACAGGGTGGTCTCCTGGCAAGGGCCTCAGGCTCCTCCCCACTCCTGCCTGATGCCCAGTGTTTGCATTTTCTCTCCGGAAAATGCAGCTCCTCTCTGTATCTGAAGACATCTGAGTGGCCACACCCAGCCTCCCCCAAGCTGGCGTCCTGCGGTCTGACCCGGTGGCAACGGCAGCCCATCTGGGAGTGCAGGCAGCAGAGCCACAGCTCCGCCCATGGTGAGCCATGGGAGCTGTCAGCAGGGCCTCCGACTGGCATGGGACATTTGGGACACAAAGATTAACACCAGGGCCACTCCTTGTGCAGAGCAGGCCTCGGGGAACCCTTGAGCTGTCTCTCTCGTTTGTGGGGGCTGTGGTGCTCAGAACACGGGAAGGGACCCCATGGCAGACTGTGGGGCGCTGACAAGGCATGGGGAGGGACCCGGAAGGGCCCCGCTTTTGCTTCTCTCCTACACCTGCTGTGTGGCCATGGACAGGTCCCTTCCCCTTGCTGGGCCTGGGCCTCACCATCACCTAAGACTCCATGTTCTCAGACACCCCTCGGGTATATGTGGGCACAAGCCCAAGGCCATCATGTACTGCTGTGTGACGTGGATGGGTCACTCACCCTCTCTGCTTCCCACTTCGGCTGTGGAATGGAAGCCTGGGATCCATGGTAACACGGGACTCCCAGGTGTGGAGACACACAGAAAGGGCCTGGCCACGGCAAATGCTGGTCTCCTCCTCCCGAGGTTGAGACCCCAAGGCCTTGGTGCAGGTGCCTTGGAGGCCCACGAGTCTCACTGGGCATCGTGTGGACCTGGCCGGCTACTCTCCATGCTGACCACCTGCTGGGTAGGGGGAGGATGGCTGGCAGGCTCCCCACCACCACCACTGAACACTGCTTTGCACCCCTGCTCTCGCCCAATGGCTCCTCTGTGCTCGCGCAACCTTCCCCTGGGAGCCGCATCTGCCCGGAGCTGAGAAAGTGCTGGAAGGCCCTGGCAGGAAGGCAGATCCTCCCGCCTCTCAGGGTGGGCACATTTGAATCCCAGATTGCGGTCTAAGCAAGAAACTCCATTCCATGTGCTTAAAGTTCATCCTCTCCCAAACACCGGTCTCTGCATCCACTGGGGCCTAGGAGGCTTTCTCTGTGTCTGAAAATCTGAAAAATTAAATTAAAAAGTCATCATGGCTGGGGAAGGTTAATACAAAAATCCTCAACCAGATTTGCCAGCTAAGGCCCTTCCTAGTGAACCTTTATTAAACCTGCATGAATTAAGATAGACTCCGTGTAGACTTCACCCAGGAGTCTGAGAGGGTTGAATGCAGAGCACACACCCCCCCCCCCGCAATGGGAGACTGCTGGGGTGGGAGCAGGGTGGGCGGGAGGCACCAGGCAGGCCCTCACAGAGACCACCAGAACCCGCCGGCCTATGAGTGGGGAGGGAGGCCACCAGAGGGAATGAGCAACCCATGAAATCCAAGGGGCTGCTCCCAGGAATGCCCTTGGGTCTCCACCACCTGGCACAGACTGTGGCCCCACAGATGCTGGACACACAGTGCCCCACCTTCTACCCCTGCCAATGCCCAACTCAAGGCACGTGCGTCTCGCCAGAATCAGTCCCTCTCTGCCTCTCTCTGAGTCACAGCAGGTCCTGGTCACCTGACCTGGTTGCAACTGTGGAGGAGGCTGGGAAAGCATATTTCTGGAAAATGAGGAAGGGAAATCAGAAGGTGCTGGGGACCCAGGAAGCCTAACTGATGTCAACTACACTGACCTTGGCAACTTGAACAAGAAGAGAATGCCTCATCTCACAAGAGCTGGAAAACCAAAATAGCTAACTTCAGGCATGGCTGGATCCAGGCTCCAACAGTGTCACGACAACCCTCCCCTCGGCCGTGACTCCTCTGGTCTGGCTTTGCTCTCAGGCTGCATGTGGCTGCCCCTACCACATCCCAGTTCTTCAGACTCAGTGCTTACACTGTCTGGGCCACAGGCAGGAGCACTGGAACAGTCCTGATTGGCTGGCGTGGGTCACATGCCCATTTCTGGACCAGTTCTGGAGGTGGGGCCATGGGAGTCTGTGGCGGGCCAGACAGTACTGGTCAGACTGTCTTGACGACTCCTCTCCGTCATTGCAACAGGAAGGTGGCACAGACAGGGAGTGGATGGTGGGCATGGCTGTGGCCAGAAGAACCTCATTTACACTTAGGCTGCGGCAAACTTGGCCTTGTGGTTTGCCAACCCTGCACTAGACCAAGCTGACCGGTGTCCATCATCCCACCAGCCCTAAGGGAATGTGGGGTGATCTTGTCCAGGACCAAAGGTGGGTGGTCCTGGCTGCCCCTCCCTCAGAATCCCCAAGGCTCAGGAGCTCAGAGGGCCCCTAGGGAGGGACAGCAGGTGGGTCCTCCCAGCTTCTGGTGAGGAAGAGGAAGGACCCCGAAGTCTAGGCAAGCTGCTTTAGGGGCTTGATGGTGTCCCCAGTAGAGGGTGTGGCCCTGGCCTGGCACGCAAAGGCACCAAGTTGTGTGCTCCGGGAGGCCTGGCCGGAGTGTTGTCTCCATGTTTGGGGTGCTCCAGAGGGTACCGGGGTCCCACACAGCACGTCCAGTGAACTTAGATCCAGGGTGGGGAGCTTGTTGGTCAGAGTCCCCCGCTGGCCACAGCACATGGCCACCTGCCGCCTTGCTCCTGCTAATGGGGGAGGGGTGACTTCCTGTCCCCTGGCCTGCAAAGTTCCCCCACCCAGGCACACCCACCACCACCTCCACCCGGAGGCCATCCCAGGACCCTGCACCCTCCTCTCCTGCAGACCACCAGAAGGAGCCATCACATCAGCACCCGCAGCTCTGTCCCAGCCCAGGGACCCCAAGCCGGTGACACCCCCTCCCACCCAGCCCCTGGCTCTCCTGGAACTTGTCCTCTCCGAATGTCCCCCTGATGTGGTCTTCTGACTGAGGCCAGGTGCCCAGGACCCCACCTGGCCGCAGCCTTGGCAGGGTCCGTTCCCTCTCCCACCCACAACTACAGGACCCAGGCAGACCAGGGAACTCCTAGTCACAGACTCGGGGGCTTAAACCAGCAGGACTCTGTCCCCTACAGTTCTGGAGGTCTGAAATCCAGCCTGATCTGTACCCGCTGAAGGTTGTAGGGGAGAATTCTCCCTGCCTCCCCCGCTCCACTGGCTGCTCCGGCGTCCTGGGCAGTGGTCACATCAGTTCCATCTCCTCACGTGGCCTTCATGTGACTTCTTCCCCAAGTGTGGCTATTCTCTTCACTTGTCTTTGGCGTCTTCCTGACTCTCCCTCGTAAGGATGTGTGAGCGGCATTCAGGGCCCATCAGACGATCCAGAATATTCCCCATCTCAGAATCCTTAACCACGTCTTCTTCCATGTAAGGAGACATTTATACTCTAGAGATTGAGCCATGGCCAGGTCTTTGGCCCACCCCTCAGCCAGTACAGATGGAAACTTTGGGACCTGGCTGGAGCCTGGGGCGGAAGCTAGGAATGAAAATAAGTGTCTGTTATTGAAACTGACCCATCGGTGGTGCTCTGCTGTGGATGCCCAGCCAAGGCAGGTGGCTTCTACTGCAGTGGACCCGCAAGGCTGTTGCCAGGTGCCCATGCCAGCACGCCCGAGCAGCCTGTCTTCTCTGCTTCCTGATCTGGATGCAGGTCACATGGTGTGTTTGGTTTGTGCAAATTCACTGAGTTGTATAGGTGATATACACCCCTTTCTGTGCATACCTTATACTTGACCTTTCTATGCATATCTTACACTTGATATGGGCTTGTAACAATCTCCTTTCTTACACATTGCAGTTTGCAGGGGAGGTCCCTGAAAACCGGGTGGAGACCGTGGTTGCAAACCTCACCGTGATGGACCGAGATCAGCCCCACTCACCAAACTGGAATGCCGTGTACCGCATCATCAGCGGGGACCCCTCTGGGCACTTCAGTGTCCGCACAGATCCTGTCACCAACGAGGGCATGGTCACTGTGGTGAAGGTGGGTGCTCTTCTCACACCCACCAGACACCCTGAATTCTACTACCTGAGGCACCCTGGAACCAGTCACATAGAAATGATACTTGGTGTAAAGTTTATACTTGTCCCCATCCCCAATAGCCAAAGGCAGAAGCAGAAAACCCACCTGCCATAGGCAGAGATAACCTTCACAAGACCTGTCATGATACCTCCTGAGGCTTGGCAGCACCCCCAAAAAGTCTATATTTTCTTCCTTAGTCTAGCAATGGGTGAATTTTGCTAACAATGTTAAACCATCTTTGCATTCCTGAGATAAATCCAACTGAGTCATGAAGTAATATTTTGTAATACATTGCAAGATTGTTTTGCTAATATCTGAAGTTTTTCATGAACTTTTATGAGTGATTTAGGCCTGTTCCTTTCCTTTTGTGTAGTGTCTTTACGTGGGTTTTGATATCAAAGTTACAGACTAATCTCAAGAGATGTATTGGGGAGAGTTCCTTCTTTCTCTGTCCCTGAGACAGATTATACAACATTGTAGCTACCTGTCTCTGGAATGTGTGGTCAGACTTTGCTGTTAAGCCATTGGGTAGGTAAGGGTTTTGTCTTTGTTTTTGCTGTGCTTCTTTTTGTTTCAGCCAGTACAAGTTGCCCACAGCCTGGGCAACTTGGTGAGACCTTGTCTCTCCAATAAATCAAAAAATAAGCCAGGTATGGTAGCACATGCCTGTAGTTCCAGCTACTTGAAAGGCTGAGGCAGAAGGATTGCCTGAGCCTGGTAGGTTGAGGTAGCAGTCACCAGAAGTATGCCACTGAACTCCAGTCTGGGCAATAGAGTAAGACTCCAACTCAAAAAAAAAAAAAACCCTATTCCCCTGGAAAGCATATTGAGAGTGATACAGTAAAATATCCCTGTTGTTTACAATTCAGTATGAAACAGTTTAGCACCTACTGTCCCAAAGCAACTTTCAATAGGGCTAAGAAGAAAAGAACAGGAGAGCATCAGGTTTTTTTAGACGAAAGAGGCATAACAGAAAAGTGAGCTTAAAGCTAGATGGGATGTGTTGAGGTGCAAGAAAAACCAAGTTTAAATTTGGATTGTATCATTTAGAAACTGCACTCAGCTGCCGGCAGCAGAGACTTACCCACAGAAGTATAAAACTTGAGAGCTGTATTCTCTTGAGTAAGAGGAATCCTGAGTTGAACCATTAAGGTCAATATGACAACTCCACAATTAACAGAAACCCTGCTCTGCTGAGCAAGGCTTGATCCTCTAGGGTGTCTCCTGGTCCTAAACGGCTGCTGGAGCACCAGCCATCACAAGAATGTAACAGGCAGTGGGAAAGAAGAAAGGAGGAAGAATGGCTTATCCTTTCTTTATGAAGAGGCCTTATAATTGGGCAAAGTTTAGTGACATTGTCACTCTCAGCCAGGGGAGATACTAGATAACATTGTTTGTTGGCTGAGCACATTTCCCAAACTTCTGCTACTAAGGAAGGAAGGAGCAGGATGTTAAGAGATCGCCAGCACCCTTGCCACAGGAGAGGACAGTGGGCTTTCTCCAGGACTCTGTTACTTCCCTCAACCTCCCAGAATCATCTTTTTCCTTTTCTCATTGCCCCAGTGTTCCCTGCAAGCTGCTGACAGCCGGTTCTGCTGGAAAACTTTGATACGTTCCTCCATTACTTTTACTTTCTTTGTGAAAATTTTCAAACATACAAACAAGCAGAGATAATAACTGCCGTGCATACGACTAGGTGAGGCTGATTGTTGGGCTGTGGAAGAGTCAACCGAGACAGGTATGAATGTAAAGATTTGTTTAGGGGAGGTACGCTGTGAGGACCACTGTGAGCACAGCAGCAAAGCGAGGCCGTTTGCTGTCTGCAAACAGGGACTGGAGGGAGTTTTTATGAGGCTGAGTCAGGGCCTCGTGCAGCATGGAGGACTTGTCTGCATGACATGGAGAGGTTTGCTTAGGGAAGGTATTGGTATGATGAGCTCCCTGGGACAGCTGGCAGACTGTGGCGTTCTGTTCTTTTTCTAAAGCTAGGGTTCATTAACAGCAGTGGTTAACTGCTTTTCCATTTCCTACAGGCTAAAGATTAGTTGACAACAATGACATACAGCTGGTCAGTGAGTGTCTTACGACTCTCGCTGTGGTCAGTAAGTCTTCTCCATTACACGTATGACACCTCACCCTGAGCTTTTCTTCCTCGTATGATGTCCCCAGTTGCCACTGGCCTGACTGGGCCTCTGTTTCTCCACAGTGTCATGCACCGCCATATGCCATCACCAGGGTTTTGCCATTACCAGCATCTTGCTGCATTTGCTACAACTTTTCTTTTTTGGCTGAAGTGTTTGAACATAAGTTAGCACGCCGTGACATTCCAGCCCCAATGCTTCATGAGCTTTCCTCTTCGAGTAAGGCTGTTTGTTCACCTGAAATACAGTTGCAGGAGGACAAGATGAGTGCTTCATTCTTCCCATCTAATTGTGTGTTTTGGGGGGACACAACAGTGCCCCAATGACGGGAGTCAGCTCTGCATGCCCGTGGCCCAGGAATCATGGACTTCCTGAGTGAGGACCATGACTGTGAGTGAAGATATAGCAGACCTTCTCCTCTCCATGAACACACTTGCCTTGAGTGAACACTCTGGCCCTGGTTCCTAGCAAGCCACAAATGTGAACTGCCAGTGCTTTGCTGGGCAGCGTTGCTTGTGGGAAGATGACACCCGTAAGGATCAATGAGTCCTGTGCATACAGGAGTCACAGGGCTGTCCCAGTGGTCAGCGAACCTCGGTTCACGTTGGCTACTGATTCCCGGGGAGTCCCCACCCACCCCATAGCCTGGACTCTATGGCCTCCAGGAGGCTGGCAGTGGGGGCCACTCCACACCCAGAACAGCCTCTGCCCCTCCTGGCCCTGCTCCTGGGACCATCACTTCTGCGGCCAGAGCACAGCCCTGCCCAGTTCCAGGATGTGACCATCCTAGGCCATCCTAGGTGGAAATGAAAAGAGACAGAGACCACTGGGAAGGAGGGAGCTCTGGCCCCATGTGCCTGACCCCAGGAGACCCCGCAGAAAGAGCTTCCTGCCCGCCCACAGGTGATGGGGTGGCCACCTCAGCCGTTCTTCATCCAGGCATCTGTGCAGGAATCTCAGCCACGGTGTCACAGCCTGACTGGGTTCCTGTGCCCACTGCCCAGAAAAGTCAGAAATGACATGGCTGTTACTGTGGAGAAAGGGTGGCACAGCGGCTGAGCGGGAAGGGCAGGTGCTAGTACTCAAATCCCCTCCCAAGAACTCAGAGGAGAGGATCTTGAAGGGGTTGGGCAGACTGGGGCTCACTGACTGGCTGATGATGGCAGGGGGGTGCCAATACCAGCTTCCTATCAAAGAGCTGATTTCTGGGAGGGGCGTCACAGGATGGTGGAGTCAGCTTCCCAGCCTGTGTTCTGGGCCTGGGTCCATCAGAGTCTGAAAGATACCTGACATGCCATTCTTAGGTCTGCAATAGGTGCTGTTCATAAAGCAGATCCTGTGACCCTCAGCTGCTGCCCTGGGCCATGAGCCATCATGGGAGCCTTGGGCCTGTGGCTTAGGGAGAAGACCAGATACGCTGACCAGCCTCAAGGCAGCATTCCCCCACCAGGGGTCAGGACTTGAAGATATCCGCCGTCCTCCCACAGAGTGGGACTCGGGACCAACAGGTCTGTTGCTTCCTAACCAGGCTGCGGCTTTCAGGGCCAGGGACTCTTCCACAGCTTTTACCCATGGCCCAATACTCATTTTCCATGGGCAGCCTCACCAGGAGGCAGAGCAGCCGAGCCGGCCTCTCCTTCTCCAGCCCCCAGCCTCCAGCCTTCTCCAGCCTTGACCTCTCAGTCTCCCACCCACAGGCTCCGACTCATACCTGGTTCTTTTCCGTGTCAACCGAGGCCTCAGCTTCTGAAGCTCAAACGCCAAGAACTAGCCTCTTCCCCCTCCTTTTGGCAGGGACACAGCGGGCCTGGGGTGGCCAGCGAGCCGTGACCAGTGCTGCAGAGGGTGGCAGGCAAAGGACTACCGGGAAGGGCAGGTCTGTGACAGGTGGCAGTGCTCACGGTCACGTAATGCCTCAGTGACCCAGAGTGAGACAGGACAGAAGCCCTGGCCCCAGTCTCCCATCCATCAGGAGTGGAGCAAGTGCTGGGGTCCCCCACCCGCCTGGCCTCACCTCCCAGCACAGGGTCACCGTCGTGGGGGTGAGGCGGCCAGGCAAGTATATCCAGCCGCCCTAATTGAAACTGTTGGAGCAAATTACCTATTGATTTCTCCATTACAGATGGGGTTTATTTTACCTTCCTGTAGACTTTTACTGGCCGTAATAGTCTTTCTGGAAGGCCTCCGCTCTCAGGCTGGTGACACGATTTTTTAACGCACAACATGCTGCCCAATTTCATGTCCCCAGGGATAGGCACCAGTAAATATGGGGGAAGAGTCACCCCCCTGTGTCACTTGCACAGAGACAGCACCACCACGCAGCTATGGAATGGGTATCTCGGCAGCGTGGCCCCTCCTGCCGACTCCTGCAGGGCCTGGGAGGGACCCAGACACAGTGCAGGGCTGAGTGCTGGATGCTCAGAGTCCAGAGACAGAGGAAGCTAGGTGGGACCTGGGGGAGGCTCACAGTTGCTGACTGGAAACCCTGGGAAACCTTTGGGGGAGGATGCAGGATAGTGTGGCTTTCAGCCAGCACAGGCCATGGAGGATCCTGTCTGGGTGATACCTGCCGGAGCAAGGTCCCTTCCAGAAGCACACAAAGCGCCTAGTATCCCTCTGTCCCCCAGGCGTCCATGGGGTATGGCTGCCCCACACAGGCCCTGTGCGGGGTGCTGAGCCAGCAAGGGGTGCAGAGCACAGCCCCTGCCCTAGGGACTCATAGTTGGGGTAGGGGGCACACGCTACCAGCAGTGACAGGTAAGACTACAGCTGTAGCCGGGCTCGGTGGCTCAGGCTGTAATCCCGCATCTTGGGAGGCTGAGGGGA